TCAGAAATCATTTGAAAAAAAATCAAGAAAAACTTGATGTCATCAGAAATATTAGCACATTACACATTGAAATTATCTGCAATATAGCAGCAGATGCCTCCTGTACAGGATTGGGGTCAGTACTGTTTCATATGGTACAAACAGATGGAAATACAGTCTGTTACATATCATGGTTATTAACAGATAATTAGAAGGGATGTGCAGTAGATGAAAAGAAAGCATCTGCGCTGATGTGAGCATGTGAGAAATTTGCTGACCACGTCTTATGTCTTCACAGTACAAAGGAAACAGACCACAAGCTTTTGTCAATTTACTGAATTCAAAGGAGCTTGCTGCAATGCTGTCAAGAGTGCAAATGTTTAAGAGGTTTGATACTCATATGGTAAATGTTCAAGGAAACAACAGGACAGAGCAGATACACAATCATGCATTGAAACAGCGAATTGAGAATAATACAACCATGAATTGTGGAAGAACTTGAGGAGTTTGGTTTTGTAATAGTCCGTACATTACTAATAATTTTATAAAGAGGAGTTAAATCAAAGGAGCTTAAAATAAGATAAGGAATAAAAGTAGGATAATTTTATTTTATTAGACGATAACCAACATATACGGCACATAGCTCTATCTTGAGACCATATTTCAAACAAAGAGCACAGTTGACAATGATCAAGATTTACTATCTCACAATGATTGAATAGTCAACTCAAGAAAACTGAAACTTGAAATGCTACAAAGTAACTTTGATATTACTAAGTGCAAGCCAGAGCACAGTATTCAATTTGGTGGTCAGGTCTCACGAGAAAAATTGGAAAATATAACAACCAGATGTATCATGTATAATTCAGAAACTGGAATCAAAGTACTATGCTAACATTGTATTTTCCTGCAGTGTCATAGAAATACATAAGAATAGATTTGTCTGAATGTAAAGGGAAAATATTCATAATAGCAGTAGATTCATAATCAAGGTGGATTGAAGTGAAACATTTACTTGGCCACATATAAGTAATGATACTTCCATTGAAATAATATTTTTGTCCATGTTGTTTTTGTTTTTGTGCTATCAGTTAACAATCCTCAATTCTCAAACTCAGAGTTCAAGGGTTTACAGAATCATTTGAATTAAAAGAATGAGGATTTTCTTACAGCAGTCTTGAGTTGCAGATCCTCTTCCGTGCAAAATGGATTGCTTCATGACAGTTACTCATGGGAGTAAGGTTGTGAACACAGATTCCTGCTCTCCCACATACATTAATGCCAATGTCAAAGACAGAGCGCAGAGTCTTCCCAAGCACTGATGACTTGGATATTGGTAAAAGTGTTGGGAGAAATGCATAACATGAGCAGTTAGGAACTTGCTGGCATCAAAAACAGAAAGACCAATTTTCCAACCAGTTGTAGAATGACAAGATAAGCTTCTCTCTAGTGAGTGGCAGGAGGCATTTTTGCACACATTAGCATACATTAACATCCTCACTATTAAGTTGCCTTGTGCATTTGATGTGCAGTTTTCAATTCTCCCACCCATTAGATAGAAACCAGTTAGTGACAATTCTCAACATGGAAGTCAGAGCAGTAACAGCTTGCTTCTCCAGCTCTCTATCAGAAAGACAAATTGTAAAGGCACGATAATGTTTATTGGTGTAAGAAAAGGTAAGGATCTTGAGGAAAGAAAGGTGACAGAAAAGAGAACAAAATAATATAGAAAGATAAAGGAAAAAGACAGTTAGCAAAGTGAGCACTCGAAGTAGCGACATTTCTCACAAAACTTTGTTCAGTCATGTTCTAATTGACTTGGAGGCTGAAGCATTGAATTTCCTTCAAATTTAGCTCAGTGTCAATTTCAGGGAGTTTCAAAGAGTCTTTCTATAGTGAGTGACAGCAGCTTTTCTCACGCAATTTTAATCTGCTGACTTCATTAAGTATGCAACACAACTGTGTGGTGCTGTTCTCGCTCAGTCTTCTGCTTAGCAGCAGCAGAGGTGCCCATTGGTGCTGGGACCTTAAAGTGTTCTCCTCACCGGTGCGAAATTTAACCCCCAACATTGCACCAACTCAAATATTGCCAACCTGGTCTTAAGTTGCCACCTGGTTCAGTGCGGTGTCCCTGGTTCAAAGGAATGAGCTGCAATGCAGCAAAGTTAATGACCTTATGCATTCTGCAAGGGCAAATACAACCATTTTCTCTCTGCTATCTCTCACTGATTCTAACTCTGCCATTGCACCCACTTCTACCAGTAACACCTCTACCATTGCTTACCAATCACAATATTGCAATGCACCATCTTCCCGCTCTGGCTGTCGCTGATTCATTCCCCCCCCCCCACCAAAAATACTAACCCTTTCTGTCCTTTGCACTTCATACTGAGGCAGTCAGGACACCTCATCAGCACATTTCCTGAGGACGGGACCACCCCACTAACGGACCAGAGTCTCTCTTGATTGGACTGGGCACTGCCCCACCCCCCACTTCAGACATACAGACATGGCCATTTGGTTGAATCGCATATAGTGTTGTGCCATGGGCTGCTACCATGTGCTGTAGGTATGATATTCGCATCGAACGATATTGTCCCCTCTTGATTGTTCATTTCTGACAAACATAGCTGGCTTGCTGCTTGTGTTAAAAGGCAAGGCAGGGTAAAAATGCTAGAAGTGCAAAGTGAGTGAGTGCTCACAAAGCATGCAAAGAGCCCTGAGATGCACCTTACTCTGATGTATGAGATGGTTGCTCATTCCTGCATGCAAAGCAGCCTGGCAGCAACACTACAGTCGTGAGCTCCAAAGTGCAAGATTGAAGTGCTGAATTGTATTATACGTTAGTCTGACATTTACCATGATGATGTGGTGAGGCGAGTGCTTTGCCAATGCCAGCCTCAGCAGATGGAGGATGCAGGTGGTTGCTGGCCTATGGAACGTTCCCTGAGATGCTGGGGGTTTCTGGCCAAGATGACTGCCTGGAGAAGACATCAGAGAGCTGCAGCCACCAAATTACTGCTATTACTTTTAAGTGGCAAATTGGCAACATCTAGTTTCTCTCTGAAACCTAGGAAAATAGAAATCTGCATATAAATGAGAAGAGATGAGGCAATAATAAATTGTTGATGAGTGCAAATAAAGGTAAAGTCACCCTTGTCCTACCTGACCAGTAGGCTGGTCTCTTATTAGGGAAAGATGATTGGTGATGATTTAACCTGAGGGTCACTGTGTCTCAGGTGAGGGGAGAGGTTGAGAAGGACAGTCGTTCATGGTAACCTCAGCCAATGTAAGAACTGAACCCACACTGTTGGCATTACTCTGCATCGCAAACTGTCAGTTAGTTCAGTTAGCTAGATGGCTGGTTTGCAATGCTGAGTGACACCAACAGTGTGGGTTCATGTTTCCACACTGGCAGAGGGTACCATGATGAACCCTCCTTCTCAACCTCTCCCTTGCCCGAATAGTGGTGACCATCAGAACAAATGACCACCAGTTGTCTCACCTGCCTGTAAATAGGATTCTTGTCACTCACTTATGTTATTCTCATCGAGCTTTTGAAACCTGATGAGGAAAATCAGGTTATGTCAACATCAAGAATCTCATATTTTCATTCTCACCATATTTTCTCAACTATCTTGCCATTGCCCATGTCATTCAGAATCTGCGAAAATGTGGCCAATTGCTTTCAAGGAAGTTCAGTGAGCATTGAACTCAGAACAGAGACTTGGATGGGGGGGATCAAAGTGGGAACAAAGCCGAGGTTGGAACTACGGGAGTTAGCTATTGCAGAGAGCCAGCAAAGAT